GAGGCGGCCAGCGCCTTCTTCACCTCCAGGTACTCCTGCAGCGTGATGGGCCCGTCCGACAGCTCCGAGGAGTCCATGCTCTGCGGGGAGAGCCACTGAGCACGGGGCCCAGGGCCCAGCCACCCCCGGCACGCGCCAGCCCGGCCCCAGCCACCCCCGGCCCACGCCGGCCCGGCCCCAGCCACCTCCGGGGTGGGGGGCAGGGGGAGCCCAGGGCTGGGCTAGCGGGGGGCTGGGGGGAAGTGTGACGTTGCACTCCATATGATTCTATGAAAATATGCTAATGAGTGTGAATATAATGTAACTGGAATATGCTTATTGGAACATCTCTGAGGGTGAGATTTCATCTGTATTCTGTTTCCTACTGTATTAGGCGTAGACTTGCGTGTTTTTGTTTTATTTTGCTTGGTAATTCACTTTATTCTGTCTGTTATTACTTGGAACCTACTTTAAATCCTACTTTTTATACTTAATAATTAATCCAGAGGAAATAATTCACACCTGGGGGAGCAAACAGCTGTGCATCTCTCTCTCTCAGTGTTATAGAGGGCGAATAATTTATGAGTTGACCCTATATAAGCTTTATACAGAGTAAAGCGGATTTATTTGGGGTTTGAACCCCATTGGGAGCTGGGTATCTGGGTGTTGGAGACAGGAGCTCTTCTTAAGCTGCTTTCAGTTAAGTCTGCAACTTCTGGGGGCCGTGGTTCAGACCTGGGTGTGGGTTTGCAGCAGGCTGGCGTGTCTGGCTCAACAAGGCAGGGTACTGAAGTCCCGAGCTGGCAGGGAAAATGGGCTTGGGGTAGTCTCAGCACTTCAGGTGCAGTCCCAAGGGGGTCTCTGTGACCCAACCCGGCACAGGGAGCCCAGGGCTGGGCTAGCAGGGGGCTGCGGGCGGGTGGTAGGGGTGCCCAGGGGGGCAGCGCGGGGGCTCACCCGGGCGCGGTTGTTGCGGGCGGCGCTCCGCAGAGGCTCCTGGTCCGTGTCCTCGTCGGAGGCGACGCTGTCGTAGTCGTGCTGGTCGTCCGGGTCGCTCTGGCTCCGCACCGGGTAGTCGATGGTGTCTGGGGGAAAACGGGAGTCCCAGTGCCTCAGCACCCACAATGCACTGGGGCAGAGAGCCACAGCTAGCCAATGCCAGCCCACTGCTGGGGCACCACGGTCATGCCGCCCCGCAGCCGGGCTGCCATGGTGAGGAGAAAGCCTCTGCCCAGCCCCCCTCTCCCCCCCGGCAGCCGGGACGCCACCATCCTCCCTGGCCTCCCCCTCCCCAGGGAGTTCTCTCCCCCCCCACTCACCTGTGGGGCTCCCCAGGCTCTTGCCCTGCTGCCGTCGCTTGGCCTCGCTGAGGATGTCGATGATGAGGGTGGCGAACTCCCTGGCGTTGAACCGGGCGAGCTTCTGCCGCCCCTGGAGGAGGGAGAGGGGGTGAGATGGGCTGCAGCACCCCTGGGGCCCCGCTCTCTGCTGCCCGGCACCGAGCACCACACGCGAGGCTGGTCCGGCTGTTCCCGGGGCAGGACAGCGAGCACACGTCCACTGCCCGAGGGGGCTGCACGTCGGGAGTGAGGGGCACCGCAGAGCTGTGAAGGGGGGAGCCCAGGGCTGGGAGAGGGGCTGTGGGTCGGGAGTGAGGGGCACTGCAGAGTTGGGATCATGCAAAGGGGATCCCCTGAGGCCCCGGCCCAACGCCTGGACCCCCAGCCCCAGGGGCACGGGGGAGGTGCCAGGCCCTGGGGGTCGGGGCTGGTGTGCCCGTTATCCCTGTCAGGTGTTGCTGGCGGGGGGCGGGGCGTACCTGGTTTCGCGTGGCCGAGTACTCGGGGTTGACGGGCAGGAAGGGCACAGCGCTGCGCTCCGTCACCAGTGTGCTGTGATTCTGCGTCGTGAGCCAGACTGCAGGGAGCAGACGGGCAGCGGTTACCGGGCACCTCGATGCCCCTGCCCCCCCCCCCCCCCACGCACCCGGAACAGGCCCCAGCCCCGCGGGAGCAGCACTGGGGGGAAACTGAGACCCAGAGAAGGCCTGGACCAGCCCAGGCAGTGAGCCAGGGACAGAGCAGGGTTTGAACCCAGGAGTCCTGGCGACCTCACTATCTCTCCCGGCACCCCCAGTGCCCCGAGAGGGCCCCCCGCCCAGCCCCAGAGCTGGCACATCCAGCAGCCAGGCTGCTGACACACCCCCTGGGGTAGGCTCAGGGGCCCCCCCACCCCCTCCTGCCAGCCAGGAGCCCCCAGCACAGGGAAGGGGAAGCCCCACTGCTGAGCCAGGCAAGTGCAAGACCCCGGTGCCAGGGGCCCCTCGCCCAGAGCTGGGCTGGGACTCGCCCCAGGGCCCCAGAGAACAGGCTGCTGGCTCAGCCCCGGCCAGCGGGCAGGGCCCAGGGAGAGCAGCACGCGCCCAGGCCAGCGGGAGCCAGCAGGGCAGAGGGAGGAGCCGGCCCGCTCCAGTCTGACACGAGCCATGCAGCGATGTGGCAGCACCAGCTGGAGAATGCCAAGCCCAGAGCATGGCCCCCGGGCAGCGCGGCCAGGTGGGGAGCTCACTGCACCCCTCTCCCAGGCACCAGCGCCCGTCCCCCCCAGGTGCCTATGGGGCTGCCAGGCTGGGTTATGGGGGATTTCACTCGTGTCCCAGACGCCCCTGACAGCGCCCGGAGTGATCCCGTCGCCCCCCCCCCCGCTGGCACCAGGGAGTCTGCCTCGCTCCGAGGGAGCTGGGCCCCTCTGTGGCCACCCCCCATCCACCCTGCTCTGGGGACTGGGCCTGGACAGCGGGGGTGGGGGGGCGAGGCCCAGCCCCCTGGCAGCCGGCCTGACGCCCTGGGCAGCGAGCAGCAGCCAGGGCTGTCCCGCCAAGCGGGTGCCAGCAGCCTCCGCTCGGGCAATCGCCTGCAGGGAACCCGGGGCAAAGCAGCCCACAGGGCCAGGCTGGAGCCCCAGCCGCAAGCCCGAGCCCAGAGGGGAGCCCCCGCCGCCCCCCACTCCTCACCCCCCAGACACCCGCCCACCCCTGCGGCTGCTCCCAGCCCCCTGCCAGTCCCAGGGCCCTGCAGCTGGGGTGCAGCCAGTCGCTCCCCGCGTGGGAACCCCCAGACCCACCTCGAGCGTTGCCCGATGGCTGCCCGGCCCCCGCGGCCCTGCCCAGCCCCGCTGGAGCCCACGGCCTGTGGAAGGAAGGAGCCCCCCCGCCCAGCCCAGCCAGCAGGCAGCGGCTGCCAAGGAATGAGGAGGGCGGGCCCAGCTCCCGGCTGAGGGAGCCAGCTGCTCGCAGTGTCTGAGCCACATCCTGGCCAGGCCCCAGCAGCGCCGCCTCCCCCGCGCCCGGGAAGGGCTGGCCCCAGGGCGGCGCAGCAGCGGCCCTGGCTGGCTCATGGGCACCCTGCGCCAGGCGCTGGCACCGTGGCCTGCCCCATCCACTGGAGAGTTCCCGGGCCCGACTCCTGCCACAGCAACCCGGCCAGTTCTAGAGCCCCCCGGCCAGGAGCAGCGCTGGGCTACCCCACACAAGCCAGGGGGTGCTGGGGGCCGCACGGGGCAGGGATCCCTGGGGTCACTTGGCCCTGAGGGAGGCATTTCGTACCAGCCAAGCCCTCTCCGGTCCCTGGCGCCGGGCCCAGCACCTCTGGCCCAGCAGTGCACGCCGTGCCGGAGAGGGGCAGATGGTCTCTGGGGCCCGCTGGCACCACCTGCGCAGGCCGCTCGGGCGGGGCCCCTGCACCACGACCCCCAAGCTCAGGGCAGCTGAGCTACATCACAGCTGGAGCCCCCCCAAAGCGCCCCCAGCTGAGCGACCCCAGCAGCCCAGAACCTGGGCCCAGGCCGGCCGGGGCAGCACCAGCCGGGCTATGCCCTGGGCACTGGGATCCCGCTACCCGGACACCGAGGGATCCCCGCCTAGGCCTGGCAGAGCCGAGGAACCTGCCAGCCAGCCATGGTGTGCCGCGGGAGCGTGTTCCGCTGAACTGAACCTGGAGTCCATTCCCGGCTCTGCTACGGGGGCACCTGGGGATAGACCCATCCTGATGGGCACCGCAACTCCCCTCTGCTCTGCAAAGCATGGAGCCCAGCGAGCAAGAGCGCTGGGGGGGCAGCTTTCTCCACACACACACACCCAGAGCCGCACGCCCCCTGCGCCACCCAGCCAGGCAGGGCACACCAAGGCCCTGCCCATGGGACGGGAGTGACAGGGCTGGGGCTCACAGCCAGACCCAAGCCGGGCTGGGCGTGGGGGGATGAGGGGTCTGGGCACTCCCTGCCGCTGGCATCCATAGGGAGCACCCCAGCACCCATAGGAGCAGCCCCACACATAGCGCCTCAGGGGCCAGGCTGCAGACTGTGGGGCTCCCAGCTAGGCCCAGAGCCTGGGCCAAACCCATCCCTTGCTCCCCAAAGCCCCATCCCCCCACAGCGCAGCGGCAGCATCGGCCCACCCCCAGCCCCCGGCCTGGCATCACCCACACCCCCACGCACCGGCGTCGTTCGCCCTCTGCCCCTCGCGCTGGCATCGCTCGCCCTGGCATCGCCCACACCGGCGTCCCCCCTGCCCTGGCATCGCCCCACCCCCGGCCCGGCATTGCCTGCCCCCCACGCACCGGCGTCGTTCTCCCTGCGGTCCACCTCGTCGTACACGTCCATGGCCAGCTCCTCGAAGAGGCGGTTGCTGAGCTGGAAGCAGAGATGAGCGGGTCACGGGGGGCGGGGCAGGACGGGAGGGGATGGAGTCGGAGCAGCCCCTCGGCCTGGTCCTGCCCACGCCAAGCTCCAGCTCCCTCGGCACCAGGGACCCATGGGGGTGGGGGGGTTCCCAGGGTTTGGGATCAGCCCCGTCCCAGGGCAGCTGGTCTGCGAGGGGCAGCTGCTGCAGGCCAGGGTCCCCCCCAGCGGGGCCCAGCCCCCAGCCCCACTTACCGCCTGCAACTTCTTCTTCGCCACTTTCGCCAGCTCAGACAGGTCCAGGCTGCACAAGCCGGGGGCGCGCGGGAGACAAAGCAAGAGGGGTCACTGCTGGCCCACACCGCCCGCCAGCCACCCCCCGGGGCACCCACAAGCCCTCGGGCAATGGGGCGAGCCGCATGGCCACAGACGGCATTCGGCTCACCTCGACACGACATACCCACCAGACACCGCGGCGATGAACGGCTAGACCTGGGGCACCGGCAGGGCGATGTGGGTCAGGAAAGGAATGGCAGGGGACTGCAGGTCGGGAGTGAGGGGCACCAGCAGGGCTGTGGGTGGGGGGTCCCAGGGCTGGGCTAACAGGGCTGCAGGTCGGGAGTGAGGGGCACCGGCAGGGCTGTGGGTGGGTGGGGGGTCCCAGGGCTGGGCTAACAGGGGGCTGCAGGTCAGGAGTGAGGGGCACCGGCAGGGCTGTGGGTGGCTGGGGAGGCCACACCATGCCCCCTACTCCCCACCTCTATCAACCCCTTCCTGCCACTACACAGACTCAACCAGCTGGCAGCACGTTAAGGCCAACAGCCAGCGAGAGGGGCAGCCTAGCGGGTCCCAGCGGCGCGTCACACCCGGACGCTACAGACCAGAGCGGAGGGAACAATACCTCTGCGCCGTGCCCTTTGGGCGCGCCCTGTACTCCGGAGAAGGCAGCGGAGGGAGAACAGGATAAAGGAGGGCGTTAAACGCAGGAGTGGCATGCCACGCCCACAGCCATGCCCACAACAGCCATGGCCACGCCCACAGCCACGCACAATGGCCACGCCCACAACAGCCGTAGACACACTAGCAGCCACGCCCACAACAGCCATGCCTGCCCTGTCCCACAGCCCCCATGCAGTGCTCTCACAGGCCGACACATGGGGATCCAGCCACCACGCTGCCCCGTGGGCAGCGCCCACGCCAGGGACCACTCAAGAGACACATCCAGGGGAGCGGAGTGGCAGGCTTGGCACTGGCCACGGGAACCAGAAAAGCACCCCCTGCAGGCGAGTCCAGCGCCTGCCCCAGCTGCAGCCCCACCAGGAGGCCCTGGGCCCTCTGCCTCCCTGCGAGGAGGCTCCAAACTCCAATCCACGGGGCAGCCGTACCGTCTCTGCCACAGCCCTGCACCAGCCCGCCCCTGATGGGGGGTGAGGGGTCCGATGCTGCTAGGTCGCTCCGGGGCAGGGGAGGCTGGCACTGCCCCTTGGCAGGACCCCAGTGGGGCCAAGTGTCCCCTCTCCAGGGCAGGGCAGAGCACTCGGGGCAGGGGGCCAGGTCCCAGACCATCGACCCAGCCCAGAATGCACGGAAGATGCGGGCTAGTGGGGAAGGGGAGACCCACGCTGCTGCCCCCTCCCCACCCCCTGCGCGGCTCAGTGGGAGCAAGGTGCAATTCCGGCAGTGTCCACAGGGTGGCAGCATTTCCTCCCTCACACTGGGGGGCTCCCAGTGGCAGAGCGGGGTGGGGGGGCGCTCACCTGTCTGCCATCTGTGGGATGATGTAGTGCCCGTTCTTGTGGTCTGTGCAAAACAACGGCATCGACTGTTAGCCGGGCGCTGCCCGGAGCCCCCACACCTGGCACGAGGGCGGGGGAGTGGTAACGGGGAGCTGCCATGGGTGCGGCCATGAGCCCCACAACTGCGCCCCACAGGGCCCTGGAGGCTGCTGGGCCGCGTCACCCTGAGGGCATCACCGTCCCCCTTTGCAGCCGCTGCTCTGGGGCACGCCCAGCAGGGCATCAACCAGTGCTGCAGGCAGAGCCCCCCAGCTCCAGCGAGAGCCCCCCACGGGCCCCATTCCAGCCCCACACGCAGCACCCGCCTGCCCCTCTGCTTGCTGTCCCCCATCGACCCCAGGTCCCCGCCCACATTCCTCCCTAGGGCGCAGCCCCTCCCCCCGCCCACATCCCTCCCTGGGGCGCGGCCCCTCCCCCCCGACCACATCCCTCCATGGGGCGCTGCTCCCTCCCCGGGGTTCCCCCGGGCCCCGCACTCACCCGGCTTGCGGCCGCACAGGTAGAAGGCCAGCCGGTCCGTCAGCTCGTACTGACACTCCACCAGCCGGTCCGCGAGCTCGTGTTGGGTCGCCTGCCTGCAGGGGGAGGGCAGAGGTCAGACCAGGAGCAGGGCAGCCAAGCGCCCGCAGGTCGCCCGCTGGGGGGCACTGGCACGGCTGCTTTGCACTTGGCCGGCAGAGGCTCCAGGCCCCAGCAACCCACTCGGATGCCTCTGTGCTGCCCGTGGGCCACTGTAGTCACTGGACAGGGTCCGTGCGAGGCCTCTCCAGGGCAGCCAGCCGGGGTCCTGCTGCCGGGCAGCCCCTGACACTCACCGGGCGTAGTCGATGGGGGTCCTGCCGTTCACATCGGGCGCCCCAGGGTCGGCACCGTACACCACCAGCAGCTCAGCCTGCAGGATCTGTCCAGCCTTGGCAGCAACATGGAGTGGGGTGGTGCCCTTCTCCTAGGGCAGGGCAAGGCAGTCAGACAAGGGCAACTGGCACGTAGCACCAAACCACTAGAAAGGCACCAGGGCCGGGCTAGCGGGGTCTGTGGGTCGGGAGTGAGGGGCACCGGGGCCGGGGTCTACGGGTCGGGAGGGGGGGCACCGGGGCCAGGCTAGTGGGGCTGCGGGTCGGGAGTGAGCTGTCCCATTGCCAGTGAAAATGGAAACCACGGGGTGCCTGGCTCTGAGGTCCCCCTCACTGGCCGCTCTAGGGAACCTCCCCCAGCCCCCACATGGTCACTGGTCTCTGCCCCTCCCGGAGCAGTCCTGGCGCTGGGCACTAGGGGGCAGTGCGGCGCCACACTAGGGGCTGGCCTGCCCTGGGGCTGGTGTTGGGGCTGCGAGGAGGCGCCCCCTGCTGCAGTAGTGAACCGGGAACCCCGGCACCATGCCAGGCTGCTGCCCCCTGGTGCCCGGGTCTGCCCCAGCCACCTAGTGCCAGCACAGGAACGGAGACGTGGCATCACCACAACCTCCCCACCCTCCCCAGCCAGACCTCTGCTGCCCTCCTGAGCCAACAGGGCCCAGAGCCCGCACCCCTTCCCCTCCCCGCTGCAGGGCAGAGGCCCCCGGCCAAGCCTCACCGGGTGGAAGAAGCTGGGCTGGGCGCCCAGCGAGAGCAGGCGCAGGCAGGTCTCCAGGTTCCCCGTCCGCACGCTGGAGTGCAGTTGCTAGAGGAGACACAGCAAAGCGTCAGCTGCCCGGCCCAGCAGAACCTGCCTCCTGGGGACCTGCCGCTGCCCCCAGGCACGGCGCCCACCACCCGCCTGGCCCCAGGGAGGAGCCTGTGACATTGCACTCTATATGATTTATGAAAATATGCTAATGAGTGTGAAGATAACGTAACTGGAATATGCTTCATGCAACAGGTTTCTTGTAAGGTATCATTACAAAGCTTATAATCTACTGAGTGTGATCATCCGATTTGTATGTATGTATCATTCTTGTATCTGAAAGTAGAAATACGAAGGATAACTCTGAGGGCTTATTGTAATTATGCAAAGTGTGGGCCATTAATGGCGGTTTGGAATCTTGATGGCTCCCATTGACCAGGACAATTGAGGGTGGATGGCTCTGTTTATTTGCAAGCCTTCCTGAGAGTCAGGCTGGGAAGAATGAAGGCATGAAGTCTCACAGGACATGTGATCATGTCACATGAACTGGAATCCATCTTTAACCTGGTGATTTTCCATTGAGCAGGGGGTGGGAACCCAGAGAGGGACAAAGGATTCCTGCCTTGTGCAAAAGAACAAAGGGGGCTGCAGTCATGAGAAATCCCCTAGCTACCACCTCAGCTGGAACAAGGACTGTACCTGGGGAAAGGATTGGGCCCAGACTAGGAAGGCGTCCAGTCTGTGATAGAAGCTTATTGAAACATCTCTGAGGGTGAGATTTTATCTGTATTCAGGTTCTTACTGTACTAGGCTTAGACTTGCGGGTTTTATTTTATTTTGTTTGGTAATTCACTTGGTTCTGTCTGTTATTACTTGGAACCACTTAAATCCTACTTTATTTAATAAAATCACTTTTTACTTATTAATTAACCCAGAGTATGTATTAATACCGGGGGGGGGGGCAAACACCGGTGCATCTCTCTCTATCAGTGTTATAGAGGGCAAACAATTTATGAGTTTACCCTGTATACATTTTATACAGGGTAAAGCGGATTGATTTGGGGTTTGAACCCCATTGGGAGCTGGGTATCTGGGTGTTGGAGACAGGAGCACTTCTTAAGCTGCTTTCAGTTAAGCCTGCAGCTTTCGGGGAAGGTGGTTCAGACCTGGGTCTGGGTTTGCAGCAGGCTGGCGTGTCTGGCTCAAACCGGGCAGGACACTGAAGTCCCGAGCTGCCAGGGAAAACGGGCTCAGGGTTGGCCCCAGCACATCAGGTGGCAGCTCCCAAGGGGGGGTTCTGGGACCCAACCCGGCACAGGGCCCTTGGGCTGGCTTGGGCCAGCAGCACCAGCCGTGCGAGGGGCTGGGCTAGGGGAGGGTCTCAGGGCCTGGAACTGCACCTGCCTGGCTGGGAGAGGCAGGGCCGGGCCGGGCAGCGCACGGCACTGGGGATCCAGGCCGCTGACAGGCTGCCCCAGCCCAGGGCCCAGCAGGGGTTGGGGTCTGTTCACAGCAGCAGCTGCCCTGGGACGGTCTCACTGGGGGCAGCCCCAGGCGCCCTGATAACGCTGCATGACTCGAACCTGGGCCCACCGGTGCCAGTCCCACCCCAGCGCCCGCGGGAGGGCACAGAGGACCCCCTGCCCCCAACAGTGCCCAGCGTGGCAGGCTAGAGAGGGGTGGACATGCTCCCAGCACAGCCGGGCGTTCCCCTCTGGGATCCAGCCCTGGGGCTCAGCACCCCCAGGGCCCCTACCTTGCTGAGGTCCTTGGCGGTGACGCCATCGTCGTCACGGCAGGGCAGCTTGTGCACGAAGGCCAGCATCTGGTACTTGGCGCGGATGAACTCGGACTTGGTGGGGCTGGGGACAGAGGGGACAGGGTGAGACTGTGCCGGGCTAGCCCCTCCCCCACCCCCGTGACACTTACTGCACTTTGTCCTGAGGATTGGCCTTGCGCCGCCCGCTCTGCACCTGCGCCGGGTCCAGCAGCGAGTGCTCCCAGATGGAGTTGGCACCATTGCTGGCCAGAGTGTGCACCATCTGGGGAGAGACGCGCCATGCACCTCACTGACCCACAGAACTGGGCAGCCAAACCTCAGCTCTGCCACTGGAGACCCGGGGCCGGGCTGGCGGGGGGCTGCGGGTCGGGAGTGAGGGGCACCAGCAGAGCTGGGTGGGGAAGAGGGAAAGGTCACTAACTTTATCAGCACTACAAATCCACACAATACAAATAATATGAACAATCCCCCAGCAGCGTGAAGGGGGGAGGGGACGGCACAGGCCGGGCGGGGGTCAGGCCAGGAAGCCGTGGGCACAAACCCGCTGGCAAGGCAGGGCCGGCAATCCAGGAGGGGACCAGTCGCGGCTGATGTAACATGGAAGAATCCCACCACCTGCCGCTCCTGGAGACGCTGCATCAGGCTGTGCGCCCACGGGCGGTGCCGGGGGAGGGGGAGCCGCACAGAGACCCCTGCTGACCCCCAGCGCCCCTCCCCCCCCGGCGCTGCCCCCACCCACCTGCAGCAGCGGGGAGGGCCAGGGGCTGTGGCGCAGGTGCTTGACGATGGAGATGTGCCGGCCCAGGCTGCGGTGGACGCTGCAGCATTCGTCGCAGATCAGCACGCCGCGGTTAATGGAGGCCCAGCCGGGGTCTGCGGGGGCAGGAGATGGGTTAGACGCCCCTCCGCAGGCCTGGCACTCGCCGGTACCACAGCACCCACCGGGAACATCTGCCAAGGGCTCGGCGGCTGGGCCAGGCCAGGGCACAGCCTGGCAGGAGGGGACCTTCCTCATGAGCGCTTGGGCCCTCGCCCCGAAGGTGGAGACCCGGGGCGGACACCGGGCACATGGCAGCTGGGAACTCGGACACAGAGGCCTGAGCACCCCAGACAAGCTGGTTAGTAAGGAATGAATGCCCCAGCTCTTGGGGGGAGTGGGTTAGAGTAGAGGGCTGGGAGCCAGGACTCCTGGGTTCTATCCCGGCTCTGGGGGGGAGTGGAGTCTGGTGGTTAGAGCGGAGGGGCTGGGAGCCAGGACTCCTGGGTTCTATCCAGGCTCTCACACTGACTCGCTGTGTGACGGGGGACAAGTCCCATCTCAGTGTGAGGTTTAATTAGGCTTTGTGAAGCACCCAGGGACAGGCAGAAGGTACTGCCCCCTCGGCTGGCACCAGGCACAGCGGGCACCAGGATGGGTGGCCAGCAGCCAGAGAGGGCCACGCAGCCCTGAGCCCCGACCCCGAGGGCAGCTGCTTGGGGCGTTTCGCTCTGGGGTGGGCACAAGTGCAGCGAATGGGCAGGGGGGCGCCCAGGGGGCTGCAGCGGACAGACCGTGGAGGAAGCTGGAGCATATGCCAGCGGGGCAGCACCGATGCCTCTCCCCCAGGTGCAGAGCCCGGACAGTCCTGGGCACCGTCTCCCCCCGCGCTGCTCTGCTCTTCACCTCCAGGGGCACCTACCCCTCCCGCCCTGCTGTCTGGGGGTGTCAGTAACCTGCTCCCCCCATCGGCTGCCATGGGGACGGTTGCTAAGGTTTCCCTAGCTACAGCTAAGGGGCTCAGCCAGTAGCTAGGGAAACCCTAAGGTTTCCCCTAGCAACCTGGCACCAGGCCTGGGGCAGCCTGGGAGCAGGGACTGTTCGCCCTGCCCAGGGCCCGCGCACATGCTGGGGCCAAGTGGAGCCGGGGGGCAGGGCAGGCACACCCCAGGCAGGGAGCAGCGTGGCTCTGCAGGGGCGTCAGGACCGGGGAGAGTGGCCCTGGTTTGCCTTCTGCAGTCCCAGGGGATGAGCCCTGCGCACCCACCAGCAGGCACTGCGCCCGCTCCCCGGACCGGAGGGGAAGCGCCCCCCAGCGCAGGTGCCCATCCATGGCCAAGCCAAGCAGAAGGCACCAGCCCCAGGGCAGCGCTCCGCTGGCTCAGACAGGCCTTGGGTTTTCCACCGTTAGAGACGGGAGCCTCCCTGGAAGGCCGACCCTGCAGGGGCCCCATGGCTTGGGCAGCGTGCGGTGGAGGGCAGAGAGCAGCCCCCGCACCCCATGGCCAGGCTCCCCGAGCTGCATGGCCACCAGCTATCCACGGGGGCGCAGAGGGGCCGATTGCGCGCTCAGTGACCCCCCGCAGCCCCCCAGCCCCAGCTCATTAGCCACGCAGGAGCAGCCCAGCCCAGCGCCTCCAGGGCACAGCTAGCACCGCCTGGGACAGGCCCCCCCATGCCCACCACGGCCCACCCCCTCAAACCAGACTCTTGGCTACTGGCGCCTACTCACAGGCCAGGGCTTAGAGCACCCAGTGCCGCCCGGCCGCTCCCATCCAGCCCCTGCCCAGGTTAAACCCCCAGGAGCTATGTGCTCTCGGCCCCCCAGAGCTGCCTACCCCCCCCCAGGGGGCTCAGGGCACAGACACGGCTCGCTGCAAGGGACTGCTGGGAGCCCTGCCCTGTTCTCAGGGCCTGCGCTCTCCAGGGACCCCCCATCAGTGCACACAGTACCCCCACCGGAGACGAGTGAGGTCCCAGTCGGGCCTGCACCCCCAATCCCAGAGCAGCTCTGCCAGCTCAGAGCCCAGCCGGCTTCACGCCCTCCCCCACCCGGCAGCCTCCCACGCACAGAGCTATTCCCGGCTCCTCGCCCACATGTCGCTCCCTCAGGGCCGCACCAGGTGCCGGGGGGCCCCAGACAGCATCAGCGAGGGGTGTGGGGAGCCCCGGGTGCGGGACGCAGCGGCAGGGGGGAGCTCTCAGCAGCTGGAGAAAGGGGATGGCTCCCAGCCCTGTGCTCAGACCCTGGTACCAGCCGCTTGTGGGCAAAGAAACCCGCCTTGCCCCTGCCCGGGATACATGGGGAGGAATGGGCCAGCAGCCCAGCCCCTGCCCTCTCCTAGGCACGTCTATCCCCGGTCCCCTGGGATCGGCTCCACCCCACAGAGCTCTGCCAGGGCGTGCCAACAGCCAGCAGCAGTAGTGTTCCCGTGTGCCTGGCGCAGGCGGCACCAGGCTCTCAGCTGTGCCCGACCCCCCCCCCCCGCAGGCCAGCCCTGAGGCCCAGGCTCGAAGCGCCTTGGCTGGACAGCCAGGGTAACCAGTGCCTGGGAGCCAAACGGGTCGGCCTCATGCCCAGCGGGCGGGGACCCAGCATGGCCACTGAGCAGGCAGCCTGCCCCATGGTGCTGTGCCACTGCCCCCTTCCCAGGGGAACAGCCCCACTGCCCCACCCCTGAGCCTTCCTGTGCCCCTCTCCCCTCACAGCCCCCATGGTAACACCAGCCCCTCCCCCAGCCCAGCCGGAATGGAGCCCTTTGTCCTGGCGACGGCACTCGCCGAGAACAAAAGGCCGCTTGAGATGCCGAGCACTGCGGCTCAGAGCCGGTGCCCGGCCCCCGCTCGGGGGGCACCCGGCCCAGCTCTCTCACACGCGGCAGAGCCGGGCATCAGCTCTGGCAGGCCTGCCCCGGGGCAGGGCAGGGCGCGAGTAGGCCAGAGCCTGGATCCCAGCATGCAGCTGCTCCCCCAGGGCCCCGGAGAGCCGTGTGAGGGGAGCAGCCAACCGCTTGTCACGGGCTCGGCCTCACCCGACCCATGGCGCTGGGCACTGCCCCACTTCGCCAGGCCTAGGGTGAGGGGCAGGGAATCCACCCTCCCAGCCCCACGGACGGGCCCTCTTCTACCACTAAGGGGCACGCAAAGGCTCTGCCGGTGCCCCTCAGTCCCGACCCGCAGCCCCTGCTAGCCCTGCCCTGGGCTCCCCACACCCCACCCCCAGCTCTGCCGGTGCCCCTCAGTCCCGACCCGCAGCCCCTGCGTTTTCTTTTGTGTTTACACAGAGCCTGGCTCCATGGGGGGCCCTGGCCCACGGCTGGGGCTTGCAGGCACTGTGGTGACACTCTAGTACCCCAGCCTTGGCCCCCCCATACCCAGCTTTGCTGCCGCCCAGGGGAGGAGACGTTTACGCTGCCCCCCCAGGCAGTTCTGTGCTGGCGGCCGCATGCCAGGCCGGCCCCGCTGTGCCCGGCACGGCCCCTGGCAGCCTCCCGGCTCGCTGAGCTGCAGCAGCGCCCGCCCCTCCCCCTGCGAGCCTTGATTCCTGCAGCGTGCGTCAGCGCCCAGTGCCCCCCCAGCCCGCTGCAGCCCCACGGCCAGTGGGGAGCAGAGCAGGTTCCCGGGGCAGCCCCCTGAGCTTCCTGGGAAGGGGGATGGCAGCCAAGGGGAGTCCCTGGCTAGGGCGGCGCCTGGGGGCTGCACCCATAGGGGCTTCCCTAGGGCACGGGGCAGGTCCCACAGGGACTGTGGGGGTGGGGTGGCCACCTCCCTCGGAGCCAGGCCGGGGGTCGCAACGGCTGCGGAAAGGTCACTGGGAGAACGAGAGCTTTGTGCTGGAGCTGGAGCAGGAGCCAGCCCCCACCAGCCACGGCTCCCCCCGCCCCCCGGGTGTGCCCTGCTCAGCGCCAGGGCCTCCCCTCCCACCGCTGTCCTGTGCTGGAACCTCCCCACAGCTCTGGCCCCGCCCCACAGCCCCTCTATCCCAGCCCTGCCCTTGCCCCCCAGCCCTGCCCCCACAGTTCTGGCAGTGCCCCACAATCCCCACCCAGGCTCCCCTCCCACACACATCCAGCTGCTCCAGTCTGCAGGACAGCACCGGTGGGGCCCAGTCTGGCCCCCGACCCAGGCTTGCTGGGAGCTGGAGAGACACGTTATGCAAATGCTGCTTGCAAAGTTCAAACCACCCATTTGCAAAGCAAAGGGGACGGGGTCTGAGCTCAGCTCTGCCAGGCTTGGGGGACAGAGCGAGAGGAGGGCAAGGTTTCCCGCAGCCCCAGCACACGCAGCCAGCCAGGGACAGCTGGAGGCAGGATGCTGCCCTCTGCTCAGCTGCCTTAGGCTGGGGGGAGGGGGTAGCACCCAGGGCTCCCCCACGGCCGGAGAAGTGCAGGGGACGGTGCCCTGACTGGAGCTCTGCTCAGCGGGCGGGTGGCTCCGGCCCCCAGCCCGGCCTGCATGTGCCCCGCGCTGCTGCACAGGAGACAGTCACAAGCCAAGGGCACCGTGTCCTCGCAAGAGCCAGAGCAAGGGGGGGTGGGGCTGCCTTCCCATGGCCCCCCCAAGTCCCGAGTGCAGCCCTTGGGGTCCCGGCAGAGCTCTCCGGAGCAGCGCACGGACCCCAGCACGTCCGGACAGCCAGGGGCTGCCCCACTGCAACACGGGGGCCCAGGGGAAAGACCCCAGCCCAGCTCCCACACTGCCATCACACCCCGCCCAGCCCCACGACCCACACTGACCACCCCCCCGGTCCCGTCGGCACCGTGCCCTGCAGAAGGCAGCCCCGCGTGCCATGCCCCACCCAGCCACCCTGCCCGCACTGACCTCCCCCCGTCCCGTCGGCACCGTGCCCTGCAGAAGGCAGCCCCGCGCGCCACGCCCCGACCCAGCCCCACGGCCCAGAACCACAGTGCACCTGCAACTAGCACGTGCTGGGCACGGGGGAAGCTGCAGCCCCAGCTCAGAGCCCCCGGCTGGGCTCGAATCCCAGCGAGTTGGGCCAGTCAGATACAAGCCACAGGCCCACGCACCGCCGGGCGGGCCCACCAGCCACTGGGGAAGCCGCTTGTTCAGGCACTGGGCCAGAGCCCCCGTGCTCTGCCCCACAGGGCCCGGCCAGGAGCCAGCGCTGGCACCCGGCCCCAGCCCCAGCAGAGAGGGGGGTTGGGAAGGGGCTGGCAGGGGTGGCCGTGACAGGCCTGACTAGCCCAGGACAAAGCCTTTGCAGCAGCCACAGCCCAGGCGGATCCCAGAGTCCGGCCGGTGCTGGGCTGAGGGAAGCGGGTTTGGTCTGGTCACTAGACGGGGGTGAATTCATCACAAAAGAACCTGAGGGGGGAGCAGTGCCGGCTCCAGCCCCCTCCGCTGCCCAAGCCGATGCCAACAGAGGTGGCTCTGCAGTGCACCCAGGCCCCTGGCTTGTGGCAGCGCCCACAGCAGGCTGGCACCTCCCAAATGCTTGGGGGAGGCGGGAGCCCACGAGCCAGACTTCCCCTGGGCACAGACTGAGCCCCCCAATCCCCTTTCCCTGTGCACCAGCCAGCACGCGCCCCCGCCAGCAGGGCACTCCGGGCAAGCTGGTCGCAGGGAAAGGGGATCCTGCAGGCTGCTGCTTCCCCCTGCAGACCCCATGACACAGTAACGCGGCTGACACCGCCCGGACGTGGGAGAACGCGGCCAGGGCCGGCTTTAGGACCTGCGGGGCCCGATTTGAATACCCGGCGGCGGTCCGTGTCTTCGGCGGCACTTTGGCGGCGGGGGGCCCGCTCCAGGTCTTCCGCAGCACTGAAGGACCCCCGCCACCGAAGTGCCGCCGAAGACCCGGAGCGGGCCCCCCGCCGCCGGGTGAGTAAAGAAAATTAAAAAAATTAAAAGGCGCCTAAGGCGCAGGGCCCGATTCTGGGGAATAGGGGGAAACGGCCTAAAGCCGGCCCTGAATACGGCAGAGCCCTGACAGGCATGGTCAGGAGCCCTTCGGCCTGAGACGGGGGGATGGGCCTGGGGATCGGCTGCGCCGGGTGCCAGGCAAAGCCCAGGGATGGCGCATGGGATGTTCCTGCCTCGTCAGTCCCACCCCTTAGCACAGGAGACCCCTCCCCCCCCCGGCCAGGTGCTCTGCCAGGCTGGGAACCCCTGTGCTGGGCCGTGTCCGGTCTCTGCCCCCAGGGACCCGCCTGCCCTGCTGCCATGGGGGTGCAGTGCTCATGAGTGCGGGGGCCACAGGGGCCCACCCAAGCCAGCAGCTTGGGGTCCCAGCGATCAGCCCCCGACATGCCCATGGCTGGGGAGGCTCAGACCGAACCAGGCCAGGAGGTAGCCATGGCTCAGGCTGCGCGGTCTGGCCAACGCGGGAGATGGCCACGTGGCCGGCTCACCAGTGGGAGAGGGGGCAGCCCCCACAGCCAGCCTCACACCGGCTCAGCGGGGAGGGGCGGCCCCCAGAGGCAGCCAGGCCCAGGCCCCGCCAGCCTCACAGCCCTGCAAAGACGCTGTGGGGCAGGCACTGATCACTCAGGGAACCTCCTTGCCAAGCCACGCTGGATAACGAGCCACCCAGCCCCATTCTGTAGGACCTACACAAATACCTGGACAGCCCCTCTGCCCAAGCAGCACCGGCAGGGAAGGAAACAAGCAGGATGCCATGGTAGAGACACCCCCGCTTTGGGCTGTGATGGGGGAAGGGGGATCTGGTCTGGGGTGGGGCGGATTAGTCCGCAGCCTCCCAGAGGGTCAGACCCACAGGGACGGGGCAGTTTACACAGGCCAGCTGCTGCCCCCTGCCCTTTGGGACCCCCCCCAAGACCCTGCAGCGGGGCCCAGGGGCCAGAACAGGGGCATAGTGGGTACTGCAGGGCAACGCAGGACTCCTGGGTTCCACTCGCAGCTCTGCCTGGGCTGCCACCTGTGGAATGGGGATGGGGGCCTGGCCTGCCGGGGTCAGGGGGTGACAGGACACCCAGCCCACCATGGGGCCTAGGGCTGAATGCCGGGGGGGGCATTAGCCCAGCCTCCCAGCAGCACCTCCCCCCAGCCTGGCGCCGGGTCCCAGGCCCGAGTTCCCCTGTTGTCCCTGCAGAGGAAGCCTGGCTGCTGCGGATGGAGCAGGCCCTCCCCATGCTTCCTTCCTGGCTGCACTGGAGAGGAGCTTGGCCCAGGGACTGGCCCCGGCTGCGCTTTGCTGACTTGCCACGCCAGGAGCACCCAGGCGGCATCCCCCCAGCGCTGCCCCCAGCCTCTGCCCTGCTCCCCGGGGCGGGGGGCGGAGCTGCTGGGCGAGCGGCAGGTGTACTACTTTACAGGGGGGGTCCCAGAGCTACCTGGAAGGGGCACAGAGGCCCCCGTCAGTGTCAGGCAATGGCCCAAGGACGCAGGCTGCTCCTGGCGGGCTGCGGAGGGGTATGGGGGATGAGCCCTCTGCCCACGGCAGTGTCCCCACACAGAGCGCTGGGCCCCCCTTATTTCCAGCACTGAAACAGCCCCCCAGGCTGTGCCCAGGCAGGGTGCTGGGGAGCTCACTACCTGTGCAGGGGCGAGCAGCCAGGCTCCCCTCTGGCTCTGGGTGCCACCTACAGCCAGGGCTGGCGCATGGGCACCTCCCGGCTGGCGATAAAGCAGGGGTACGGGGGAGCGGAGCAGGTGGGGGGAGCCGGCTCCGAGCATCCCACCCCGTGGCTGGTTTCCTCTGTGCCCCACGCATGGGCTTCTCTCTCCCACGGCGGGGGACGGGGAGGAAGCGATAGCCCAGCCGAACGCCCCTGCACAGCCAGCGTCACGCCCCTCCCCCATGTCCTGAAGGACAAGCGTGGGCACCTCGCAGGCACGCAGATGGCACAGGCACAAACGGCCTTGGCAGCGAGACTGGCTGCATCTATGTCTCTGTGCTCGCGGGCGTCGCCGGGAACAGAACGCGCGGACGTGGGGGGAGTGAGGCCAGGAGCCCCCCGCCTGCCCGGCCAATCCCACACCTCGGCTGGGAGCTCCGCTCGGTGCCGGCAGCCCCTCTCCCTGAAGGGCACCGCCCAGGCCACACTGCAGGGCAGCAGGGACCCCAGGTGCCAGCGTGCAGCTCCCTCTGGCTGCAGGGCAGACGTTGCTAGTCCCATGGTGCCCGGCACCACCCTGAGCAGCTGGAAACATGGCCTGGCCGTGGCTGGAGCTCCCCTGCCCCCGCCTGCTCACGGTGCTAACCAGCGCCAGGACAGCCAGGCAGGCCCTGGGCACCACCTCCTCCTGCCCCGCATGTCCACGGCAGCGCGTAGCCAGAGCAGGAGGAGCTCCCAGCAGGGGGTCTCTTCCCAGCTCACCACTCCTGGCAGCGGGCACCTGCTCAGGAGCCCCCAGAGCCCCCCCTCGCGCACACCCCAGGCCCGTCCTAGCCAAGCACATGCTGCGAGTAGCACAGAGGAGACGGACCAGGGCTCCTGCACAGTCACCAGCAATGGGGGCAGCTCATGCTCAGGAGTGAGGACGAGCCGGGGGTTCAAGTCCTGCTCCACCCCGGAGCTGCCGTGCGCGTTCCCAGCTGTACGACGGGGCAGGAGCCCTGCCTGCTGGAGGGGCCAGGAGAGATCACACGGGGCTGTGTAAGTACCAGAGCCAGCAAGGGCCGCAGTATCCCACTGAACTGCATAGGCCAGAGGGCACCCCAGGGTTGCCTCTGTTGGTGCTTACGGGGCTTTTTCGAGTGCCTCCCCAGGAGGGGAGCCCAGAACGGAGGGGGCAACAGACATGCTGTACGCTAAGTGGGCTGGGAACGCACATGCCACTGCGCCCGTGTGCCAGGCACTCACCCAGCTCCTGCCCACCCCGAGGCCAGGCTCACAGCTGCCGCACACGCCCGCCTCCTGCCCGGGAAGCGCCCGGCCCCCCCGTCTGCAGGAAGTGGCCCCGCCGGATTTTATAACTCGTTCCCTCACGTGGATACGGATTGAAGGAACTGGTTCCCAGTTCCACAGTGAGGAACCCCTGCCACACTCCGCCTCGGGGCACGACTCCAGGGCTCTGCACCTCCGCCCCTTCCGCCAGGTACCATGCTAACGGGAGATCTCCCTTCCCGGCCACGCCAGGCCTGGGCTCGCTAGCTGGTGCTTTCGCAGGGGCTAGGACCCCCAAGGCCCCATCGCCATAGGGGGCGACGCTCCTGGCCATGCCCGACTGGCACGGCAGACGCTTTGGCCTGTGGCCTGCACCGCCATGGCTTGGAGCATTGCAGGAGGGGAGGTACCACTAGCAGCTCAGACCTGGTCTCTCCTAATGCGCCGCGCTCCAGCCCAACGCCTGGCACTGCGATGGACGGACAGACGGATGGACGGCAGCTCTAGCAGGCCCCGCTCATCGGCATGCAGCACGGGGCCTTCGGACACCACAGTCCCTCCGATGCCAGTGCAATGACCTCACTGCTGTTCGACACGCGCCTTCTCCCGGGCCAGGGCCAGTGCCAGGAGCCAGTGTCGGCCTGATTCTGCCCCGCCACGTCCCCTGAACCAAACCCACGCCAGGGGACGGGCCGGCTCCCAAACAGGGCTCGGGGGCAGTCTGGGAAACACGAGCAGCGTGTCCGAGTCCTGCCCCAGGGAGTCCTGCCGATGGCACACGGGCAGCAGAGCCATGGCATCCCGGGGTGGGGGTGGGGCTGCCAGTGGGCAGGTGCGATGGGGCCCCCACCCTGGCCACCCCCTGCGGCTCGGTGCCCGGGAGCGAGTGCCCAGGACAGGCACCACTGGCAGGGGCGCTCGGCGGGAGCCCCCTCCCCAGAGACCCCAGACAAGGGGGGCTCCAGGATCCCTGCAAGGACCCCCCCTTTGCCCCCCCGAGCGGTCTGCACCAGTGGAGAGCGGGTTGCGGGGGGGTCGGACATCCTCTGTCCCTAGCGCACAACGGGGGCGCCCCCCCCCACTGCCCAGCCGGAGCGAGGGGCCCCAGCGGGGCCTGCCCCCGGCACTGCCCAGCCCCCCCGCCGCAGCCTGTGCGCGCAGGCCGGGCCCGCAGCCCTCACCTGGGGCGCCGCAGTCCGCGCACACCTCCGTCCGCGGCCCCTTCCGGGACATCCTCAGCGGCGAGGCGGGCGCGGCCTTCTGGGCCAGCGCGGGGCCGGGCCGGGGTCTCTGCGGGGCTCCCGCCGCTCCCAGCGGCTCGCACGGCTCAGCTCCTGCAGGAAGCGGCGCAAGCCCGGCCCCTGCGCGGGGAGGGCTCGGCGCAGGCTCCCCCCCCGGCCCGGCTGCCGGAGGAAATGGAGCGAGCGCACGGGGGCGCAGCGCCGCGCAGCTACAGCGCAGGGGCGGCGGGCACCGGCCTCCGCGCACAGGCAGCCCCCGGCCGGGCAGCAGGGTCTGTTCCCAGCTTTGGGGGGCAGCGTGGCTAGGAGCCAGGGCTCTTCTAGCCTTCGCTCTGCCACTGCCTGGCCCCCTGGCTGAGTCACACCCCGCCTACTCCGTGCCTCAGTTTCCCCATCCAGCCTGCCCCTGGCTCCTTGGCTGCCTCCCTGCAGCAGCGGGCGCTGTCCAGGGTTCTCTCCTCTGGGCCTGTCCACGTCCCTTGTTCCACCTTGGAGCCCCACCCCCACTCCTCTCTGACCATGTATTTGTTGTCCCCACTTTAGCTGGTTCCTGGATCCGTGCCCCCTCCCCCCCCCGGAGGAGGCGGGTCCTTTGCTCAGGTTGGCCCCACCCACTATTCCCCATTCACCCCCCATGCGTGGGGAAAATCCTCATCACCATTTGCCACCTTCTCCTGCTCCCCTCGCCCCTCTGCCATGCTACCCACAGATCCCCCCACCCAGCACCGGCTGCAAGCGTGCCAGCGGGGACTTGTGCACAGCGCCCCTACCCCGTTCCACCCACCAGGCCCAGGGGCGGCTCCAGGCACCAGCGCAGCAAGCACGCGGGGGGTGGCCTGCCAGTCGCTGTGAGGGCGGCAGGCAGGGGCGGCTTTCGGCGGCACGCCTGCGGGAGGTCCGCCGGTCCCGCGGCTTCGGCGGCAATCCGGCGGCGGGGACACCAATGGCGCGGCACCGGCAGACCGCCCGCAGGCGCGCTGCCAAAAGCCACCCCTGCCTGCCATGCTTGGGGCAGCAAAAAACATAGAGCTGCCCCTGACCAGGCCCAGCCCCTCCAACACCCAGATCAGGCACTTTCTGGGGCAGGATGTCACAGCAGCTAGCACAACAGGGCCTGACCTGGCGTAACGCCAACAGACCCCGGGCGTCGGTGGGTGGGATCGAACCTGGGCCCTCCGGAGCTTAGTGCATGAGGTAAAAGCCAACTGGCTGTTAAACAGACGCAGCAGCTCTCTGGTCTTGGTGCCACTAGATGGGACAAACACCACACCCAGGAGGTGTGCGGGTTACACTGGGACTTGGTTTTGCAGCAACTACTGATGATGAAAGTCACCCAGTCTCTGCCTGATCACGGCGCTGAGCTGTCTTCCCCTCCCCCATCTCTCTTATCTGCTCCCCTCACATGCCTAGGAGATCTTCCTAAGTATCCTCCTCACATTTCCACATGCTCTCCAGGCCTGGCACCTCACACCCAGGGCTAGTTCTGCTCAACAACGCCTCCAGGTCTGGAATCCAGATAAGATAGCGGAGGAGTAAGCAACATAGGAAAAGCTGAGAGTTAAAGTGGAATTGGGTTTCTCTTCCCCTCCCCACCCCACCCCACCCCAGGCCTCTGCAATAGCTGACTGGCTCCACTCCACCGCTCCCAACACCGCTACATTTCTGGAGTCAGGAACCTTGGATCCAAACCCAGATGCCAACTTTGCAGCTTGGGCCCAGCTCTGAAACATCCGGGGGCTCTGCCTCCACAGGATCCATCTGTGCCACTTCCCATGCGCAGAGCAGAGCCCAGCCTCTGCCTACCTGCACGCCGATCAGCGGGGAAAAGCCAGGACGTTAACAGAACCCTCCCCGTCCCCTGTCCCAGCCGTCTGTAACACGCTGCTCGCAAGGCCTTTCAGCCCAGCCCCGGGGCCAATCAGCACTGTCCTCCGGAGACATGCACTAGTTCCCAATCAGTGAGACCCGCCCCACCGGTGGGTCGCGGGAAGTTTCTAGATGGGTTGCAGGACCCAAAGCAAACACACATCTCCCAGCCCAGTGCGAAGGGCCAAACCTGAGAGGCGCTGTGACACCCCTCCCCACACACACCAGGTCACAACGCCTGGAGCAGGGAGCCACAGTGCAGGGCCGGTTCCCTCTCAGCCCTACCCTGGGCTCTCCTCTGCACTGGGCCGGGATTAGGTTGCAGAGCCAGGGTGCAGCTAGGGATGGTGGGTTGGAAAAAGACAAAATGCAGTTGGTGGGTCACCGTCTGGGAGCCCCTGCCCTAAAGAGCTGAGGGGGGCCACGAGAGACTCATTGCTAAACAGTCACAGAGCTGGCCTGGGCCCTGGCCTCCCGCTGAGCCGTGTTCTTCCTCGCCCGCCCGGACCCAGTTCTTCACAGCCCAGCACAGGCAAGGGGTTAATCCTCCACTTGTGCCGTCCGAGGTCACGGGGGGCTACCTCAGCGGGATCTGTTTCTGGGCGAGAACCGGAGTGATTTTTCAGAGGGGCCAGCCCCACCTTGCACGGACACTCTGAGTGCTGGGGCAAGGGGGGAGCGCGCGCAGGGAGCTGACGCAGCTAAGATGCCAGGTGCATCCCGAGCTCTCGAACACCAAGGAACAGGCCGCCTAGATACAGCTGAATGGCTGCATTAGCAGAACCACTTCTGACTCTGTTCTCACTTTGTCCCAACCACCCCCACCCCCAAGAAACCCTTTATCACCTGACAACCCTCTGGGCTGGGGGGAGCCAGAGGAGAGAGCTCTGGGGGTCTGAGCGGCCAGTAGCAAAGCAGCCAGCAATAATCGCAATTCATTTCAAATGGCCCATGGGCCTCCCACCTGGAAGAAAAGGAGAGGGGTAAATCTGAACCTAGCCCAATAGTGCCAGCCCCCCATTTATACTGGGCAGTGCCAGGAGCCACCCAGCGCAGCGCTAGGTGCTGCCCACATGTCTAGGAAGGTCAGGCCTCGCCCTGACAAACCATCTCTCATCCCTAGGCTCAGGGGCCGGGGTCCTGAGGGCAGGGAACGCGGGGTGCCCACACACACTGGCACTGCTGCTCTAGGGCCGGCTTTGCAGAGGTGCTGAGCACCCCTAGAGCCCACTGACTTGGCAGGCGCGGCAGGTGTGGAGCGCTCCTCGGGGGGCCGGCCCTGCTGACAGAGACTGTTCCCCAGTGATCGGGGCGGATCTGCAGGCAGGTCTCATCCGCGCCGCTGGCCTGGGAACGCGGTGGCAACCCAAGAGTGACACTGCTGGGCCATGAGCTGCTGGGGGTCTGCTTGGCAACGCACAGGGCCTGTCGCCAGGAGCGCCCGTGGGGCGGTGTGAGCGCGGAGCAGCCTTGTGGGTGGGCTGGCAGGTTACCTCCCCAGGACAGAACGCAGGCTCACAACTCATGAGCCCCCAAATGCCCCCGCTCCTTCCCCCATCCCCTTCTGATGTTGCAGAGATTGGCAGCCCAGTAGAAAACACCATCCACAGGGTGTGTCTGGATGGGGGGGTGGGGGGTCTCCCAGATCCCAGCTCACCAGGCTCCCACTGGAAAGGAGAGGGTGCTGCCTGCCCCCCCCAGCCCTGGGCCCAGACACATGTTGGCTGGGGAAGGGACTCCTGCGGTGGGCTCTCCTGGGTGGAGGGCAGAGGCCAGCCCTCGCCAGCAGCAGGGGATCTGTGGCTGGGGTACAGCCCCCTCGCTTTGCACTGGAGAATGGCAGTGCTCCAGCGGGGGGGGGCTGCCAGAGCTGGAGTCCCACCCAGCAGCACCTGGGCTCTGCAGGGCGGAGTGTTCCCTGGTCAATACAGGCACTGGCTCGACTCTGGGGGAACCCACTCCTTGTGGCTGTCTCCCAGCCCCTTGCCCGTGGGATGCTCACAGCAGAGCTCTGGTCCTTAGACGTCCATTCCCTAGTCTTTAGAAAGAGGGGTTGCTCCTTTTGGTGCCAGCCCATGCCTGGCGGGCAAGGCCCTGAGCCCCTGCTACCGGAGATCGTCAGGCGAGGCGCTCCGACACTGCCTTGGGGAGGTGTCTGCGATAAAATCTTGCTTGCGGCTGGAACAACACGCAGCCCAGGGACACCGTCATGGAGATCTGTACCGGGCCAGAGCGCAGGGCACTGGCCTTGTGTCATTCCCAGCTTCGCCACTGTCCTGCTGGGTAACCCTGGGCAAGTCCCTTCCCCTCCCCCTGTCTGCCAAGTACAGCTCTGTGGGGCATGTTCCGCACCCAGCACAACGGGGCCCTGAGCTCAGCTGGTGCTTGGAGGCAAATCTGTCGGAACCAGCAGCTCGGGGAGTCACTGGCTGAGAGTCTGTGGCTGGGCTTAGCTACAGGATTGTAATGGCGCGTTCTGCCCGGAAAAGGCAGGACTCTAGAACACACACAGAACACGAGTGAAATCTCGGCACGTTCAGAGTTGGGACAACTCAAAGCTCCGGCCTGACTCCGAGCCAGGCTGAGCTCCCCTCCCTGCAGAGCGATGTCATGCCCCTGCTCGTGCAGCTCTCCAGCCCCGTGGTGCCAAGGGCTCCGGCAGCACGCTGGCTGCACGTGGGGAAGCCAGTGACACGGGGCATTCACCGAGCGGGGGGGGGGGAGGGGACGACAAGTGAGTGAAGTGCCGTTAGCTGCTCCATTATCCCATCCCCACGGGGAAGGGCGGGTCGTAGCCTGGGCGCCGAGGCTAAGACAATAAACCAGGACATTTTTGCAGCACTCCAGATTTGATGGGCATCTATATCACCCCCCATATGTATGTATGTAAAATGCCACCTCGCTGCCACTTCTGGGGTGGAGCATGGCAGCTGCTGAACGATGCAAAGGAAAATTACGTAGCAGGGTGAAAAATGCCACCCCCAGCTGGGCGTGCGGGGGCTGTTCTCGGACGGCTGAATGTCACATTGTGGCTCTCTGAGAAGCACCCCCGTTATGCTGGGCTCTGCACGTACACAGCTGCAGCCCCAGCCCTGGAGCGCTTGTACACTGGGCAGGAAAACAAGGGTGGAGCAAGGGGTCCAGAGGGAGCACCGTGAGCTGGGCCCTCGCTAGGAGGGACTGAACCTGGGGGTGCAGGTTGAGGGCTGGAGTTTGGAAGGTCACGCCAAGAACAGGGGAGAGCCAGATAAGGGTGTCCTGCAGCCCCTTCTGCACCTCTGGCCTGGCCCAGTCCATGACACTGTCCCTATCTGCCGCTCCTGCAGATGCCTCCTTAGCCCCTTTGCTGTCCCAGTTGCACCAGAAACGTGGGCAGATCACAGGAGCGGTGTTCACGCTGCAGAGAGGAATCTCACCACAGGGGCACTCGCC